GAACGGCTCAACTTCCCCCCCCCCGGCCTAGGAGTGGGAAAACGGGACTTTGACATTTTGACGGAAGAATGTGTGCAGAAAAATGCAGCTTCCCGGAAAACAAAGGTCAGACCAGTCAACGAGGCATTTTCACCTTAAACAACGGAATTTCTCGCCTTTTGTGCAGAACGGCAAACAAAAAACAGTGGTTGTAAATATTTGTAGAAAACCTCTGTGTTTTTGTTTCTCAGGAACCATTAAGTGATCAGGGGGCTAAAAAGGGTTAAGTGAACGTTCAAAATTCACAGTTAACACCTCACAGCGGAGCGAAATGGTGCATTAGACGTCGCCGGGTGTAATAGGGAGAAAATAGATTTTAAAAGGCCTTTTTGTTTGCCAATCGGAAGAGTTACCCAGTACGGTCAAACTGTCAGGAGTATCGGCAATAGTAATAGTAGTAATAGCAATAGCAAAAAATCAAGCTAGCGGCATAATGGCTAGAATTCTTATTAAAAAGTCGTGAATTTCTAATTGCGGGTGGTGCACAATCCGAGGTTTGGTATAGCTGGCTGAAGATGACTTATAAGCCAGAAATCGTTTCTCCGGACTTCTTTGTCTCTGTCGGCAATGTTTAATAGCAATAGAAATATTAGTATTCGAACCAGTGACAATAGTCCTTTTATACACCACATTGAATTTACACAGGAATACAGTTCGCACGTTTTTGAACTCAACCATACTCTTCTGGTCGAAAATGCTAAACACCCATGAGAGCCTGTGCAAGGATTTGAACTATACATTAGGAGATAGTTCCTAGCAAGTTTTGAAGGCTATGCGAAAAATTAAAAGGAAGAAGAATTTTCTGACAACTACACTTTATCCCTCATTATAATATCTCGTCTTAGAATAGCAAGTTATCGCAGGAGCAATGGTGTGCGCCGAAGGCTAGGTGGCACTATTGATTTCTGATGATGAATCCGCGACGGATGTCGAAACGTCAGGCGAATAAAAGTATTGTCCCAGCAATTGTGTTGTCTTCTTATAAATTTGAACATAGTCAACTTGGTGGAATTCAAACCCATCTCAGCATGAAAGGCTTCTGCGCAGCCAAGGGTCTACCTTTGGCCTACGAGCTTCACCATGCGCCGTGAATTTAACCCCTCTTGGTCAATTTACCCGCCCAACCTATTGCACGTATGTAATCCACAAATACGGATGCCAGGCAGAATATCCTAAGTAATCATCTAGAATTCACTGGAATGACTACCAGACAAACCAACGAATCCCACCGAGGCAAAATATTTTTCACAATTAGGTTAATCAAATCATTCAAAGCCCTCCTAATAGTCTACTTGACCAATGACCTCGTGGACCACAAATTTGAGCCCCCTAAGCTGATCACGTGAAAGATGCGCTGGATCAACACAGAGTTGATATCGAGGGCACGGCAGGCGTTACTCTAGTTGTGCGCTGACAAGAAAATGCGGCGTATGGGGTGGTGGCACGCCTAGGTTCAGGCTCACGCTGCGCCAGCCAGCCAGCCACCTGCATCTGATCCCTGCCCGATCAGAACACTGTCGGCCAGTATATTATGTGTATGCTAACTGCGTCCGATGCTGTATCTGGTCTTTTTTGACCCTGTCTGGACATTGGGTACAAGTGGGTGAAGAAAGAGAGAGTGTGGTAGATGCAGCGCAAGTCTACTGTCACTGAAAAACGAATTCGCGCGCAAGTCACTGCCAATGCACAATGCCAATGCCCAAATCGAACAGAACGCATGCTTGATTCGCGCATTAACAAGCATAACGAGGTGATGGAATATCACAGGTGGCTGACCGCACGAAACGGGTCAGATGTTTAACTTTCCAGCAAAGACGCTAATTACCCACGCCAGAACGCAAGACAAGACAGGAATGGATTGAAGCCTGGCCTGCGTCTGACGAGACCTCAGTCGACCGATCTGGCACTGGAAACTCCGGCCTGACTTCACTGGTAGTTGACTGTTCTCTAACCCTATTCATCTCTGAAGCTGGAATCCAATAAGTGTTCGAAAGCTCAGACGAATTAAAACATAATTTGGGTGATCAACATGCCTTCTTCTTTTTCTCCACATATACGCCAACCTGGAATGCAAACATTCGCTCCAATTCGTAAACTGATGGGTTGCAAATCAACGTCTTTTCAGTCAAGCTTGGAAAATGGAAGATGAAAACACTGGAGCGAGCGTTCTTTGTTTCTATGAGTCAAACTGACGGTATCCCTTAATTTTGGATCCAATGTATTTGAATGTAGAGTTCAGGAGTGAAGATTTAACGGTCTCAATTAAGTCGCCTGTTGAGATGAATTCTCAAATATGTTTTCTATTAGAAAGGTTTTCTTTGGGTGAGGTTGTAATATCAATTACTATGCTGCATAATCTCAAGATATGTTAGTTAGGACACGCTATCGGCTTTTGAGCGAGTGTCCTTATAGCCATCTGTACAGACACAATGCTCCATGTGCATATTTAGCGCCCATAGAAAATTAGAGTATATCGTATGCATAAAATTATAAAATAATATTATTTTTACACTCGTTTGGTAAACGATTCTGTCTTCAAATTTTAGACCAGAAAAAAGGTTATCTCATTAAATGTTTACGACCGTGAAATGTCCATTAAGGTAAGGTTGGATCAGCCCATCTACGTTACTCGCGAATGGTAAAACATTGTCTCAATTCATTGTTACTTTTTTATGGTGGGAATAAAAACGTATGGTTGACGTTATAAAAAAAAGAACACAGCATTTTGTTTGGAATTCCTGAACACCAAGATTAAAAGCCGAAATATAGACTTCCATCAATTATAACTCTTAATAGTTTGATACCAAAAAAACAAAGAGCGTGTTTTTTGCTCCAGCTTTCTATAAAACGTACTTGCATTTATGACAACATTGAAAATCAAGACGGAAATGCATGCTTCAAAGGTCGTTCTTCCAGATTTGCTGAAAAGAAGCCGGCATCTTACCGTGCTGGAAATACCTTGAGATCATGCTACACGAGAATAATTATTAAAATTCAAATTAAGTAACGTTTTTTAACAGAAGATAGGATTGATCAGATTAGGTAAGGAACTCCGCCAAACCCTCCGTTATAATTAATTTTACACGTTCAGCCGTTTTTATGCGACGGACTGGCAAATTTATTTGCGTGTCCTGTCGATAGCCCTCACAGTAAGCCAAAATTCCCTTATGGGTGCATGCTTTTACGAAAAGCAAATAAAATAATCAGCTCACTTACTTCGAGCCAGAGAAAAGTTTCCGCCAAAGTGCAGTCGTGAGGTGATTTGAATGCGTACACCGTAGCCAGGTGGAAGTGTGATGGGTGGCAAGGAGGGCAGAGGAGGGGGAGTGGTAGTAGCTCGGTTCCGAAGATCAGGATCCGGCAAGTTTGGGGGTGCCCTGGTGGCGATCCCTTCGGCGGCAGAGGTGAGCGAGTCTCGGGCAGGAGTTCGTGGTCGCGGCTGGAGACTGGGAAAGAATTTCCATTTGATGCGTAGGATCCGCAGTCGGTCAGTTAGGTTAACATGGACTTGGCCTGCTCTTGCGCCGCTGTCTTCGCAACTCAGGTTGACCGTCTCGGGGGTCTAAGGCAATATAAGAGCAAATTGCAGAAAGATTAAACGGTGTTGTGGCTTTCGCCTGTCT